CATCGTCATCAGCTCCTCATCAACCTGATGTACCTGCTCAGGACGACGACAATGACGATGACGACGATGACGATGGTGACGACGACGATGACGATGACAGCGAGGAGTCAGAACCAGTGATACGAAGAAATCCTCCTCGAGACCAACAGCCACCGCCATGCAGAACACATTCGCGACGCAGACATCGATAGATTTTTTTTATTATATTTGTATTTACTTTATTTTGTTTAATTGTAATTTTTTATTATTTCTCATTTAATACTTACTTTATTTTGTTAAATTTGTTGGACTTTTTTTTTAATATATTTTAGTTAATTTTGTTTATTACCATTTAATATCAGTTATTGTAATTTGGTTATCATTTACCATTTAATTCTTATTGTAAGTTTGTTGTATTTAAATATCAAATTGTTATTAGTTTGATAAAATTTAATAATAGTGTTCGTTTTATTAATCTTCATCAGCGATTATCGAATGACATTAACTTGAAGTAAATGCAAATTAAAATACAAGAATTATTATTTGATAAACAAATACATCATTTCCTCATCAATTGTTACTTGATGACAACAAAAGTGGACATGTTTTTCTAGTGTGTGTCTTGGGTTTCTACAATGGCCACATCTTCTGTCTTGTCTAGATCTTTCTCGAATATTCATATCGCAATGAATTCAATTGGATTTTGGACGACCACGCTCCCTCAATAAACTCGGATTTAGTACAATCGGAAGCCAATCTTGAACCTCATCAGGGTCTTTGTCATTATCTATGGGGGAAACTCAAATTCGTATACCTTAAAAACTTCAGATATTAAGTATACGGGATCCACAAAATGGTTATAGTCTTGACGTGTATGCGAGCAAGCTGCTATCACATGAGAGCATGGATACTTGAGAGCTTGAAAAAACCCGCAGTCGTACGCTTTGTCCCTTAGATTTACTCTTAACGACACAGCTTCAATCCCTTGAAGAGGTCGGGGCAACTTTGTGACACGAAACATTTCATGCCTTCTAGAGAAGCTTGTTACAGACATTCCATTTGATGCAGCAATTTTTTCTGTAGATATGCAACTAATCTAGGGTGATAGATATGACCACCTTGCATCCAGGTTTGAGCTTGTCCCCCGAGCTTCACAAAAAGCTCCCTCAAACGAAAATATGTAGTTTTTACCAAAGCCGCTACAGGTAAGTGACGTGCACCCTTTAAGGTTGAATTGATTTCCTCAGCCAAGTTGGTCGTCATGTGTTCATATCGATATCCACCATCATATGCGTTCGTCTACATTTCTTTATAAATGAGGCTGATGTAATTGTATCATTCCTCGTTCTTCGCCCGCAAATCTTGAAGCATTAATTCAAACGTTCGAGGAAGTAGTTCGTAACCTGATCAAAAAATGTATAACTTACTAACTTGTTTTCTTTACAAAATTAAAATGATCAACTTATTAACTTGCTTTCACTTACCCATGCGCACAATTAATTGACGCTCATCATTCTTCTTGTACCTTCCATGATAGTTCGCAGCAATGTGTCGGAGACAATACCTATGTTGGACAAAGGGTGGTTGACACATTGGACCCAAAGACTCCATTGTTGCTTTAATCCCAGCTTCGTGATCTGAAATGACACAAATATTTTCCCTCGTGATAACATGTGCACGTAAATTTCGGAGAAAAAAAGCCCAAGAATCTGTATCTTCTCCTTCGACAAGAGCAAAAGCAACTGGAAGAATATTGCGATTGCCATCTTGGACAACTGCCAATAATAAAACTTGCTTGTATTTTCCATACAAGAAAGTTCCATCGATATGGACCACAGGCTTGCAGTATTTGGCAGCATTAACGCACTGTGGGTAACTCCAAAAAACCCGGTAGAATTGGCATCGATCGCGAAGAACTCGATCATTATGGTATGCATAGGAGGTTTCGAAGTCCATAATTGTCCCAAGATTCAACGTCCGCACCAGCCTAAACCAACCTGGAAGTTCGTTGTAAGATGCATCTCATTCGCCATGAAGTTTGACAATGGCATTTTATTTTTCCAACCAAGCTTTTTTATAGGAGACGGTGTACCCATACTGTGATTGTATAGCTGAAATCAACACTGCAATAGCTATATGAGAGCTTGCTTTTACCATGGGCATGATGGATTGACATATCACTTCAGAGTCCAAGTTCGGATGATCTTGGTTGACCCCTCCAGCACAACATGTGTGAGGACCGTTGTATACTGTTAGTTCTCATATGTTGTTTTTCCTCTTCATTTTCGATACGCGAACCATCTAATTGCATTCGTTTTCGAGTCGGGCACAGTAGCATACATATTTTTCGGTCGTCGATCGATTGACTCTGGACTGAACAGAATTACGGATATTGTAATTTTTGATAGCCATCATCATTTTTTCTTTGCTTGAAAACTCCATGCCTAAAGATAACTCACCATTATTTATTGATGAGTAATATTCATAGTCACCGAGATGAGGCATATTCGCAAATTCTGGCCCGTATATTGCACCATAATCAGCTTCATACATGTGTGCATGAGGGTCAGTTTGTGCCACATTTCCTGGAACTTCATCATCATCGGAGTTGAATTGCGGTGATTCTGGGTGAATGAATAGTCCAGTCTCAGCACCATCCGCATCAGGCTCACGAAGCGGTTATTCTGGTGGAGATGATGGTTCCTCCATGCTCTCCACATTTAGGTCGAAGAACCTACTACTTGCACGCCTTCCCCTTGAAATGGAAGGCATATCGACATTGAGATCGAAAATGCTTGCAGTCGAATGCCTCCCCCTGGAGCTTGAAGCCATCGTGTCAAATGAAATTACACAGATGGTTGTGTCGATGGCATCTCCATATGGTCAAAATATTTGCAGATGAATGCCTTCCCCTTGAACTGGACGCGGTGTTGCCATACGGATTGTTCGTGGACCCACATCGGTACATATCGTAAGGAGTTGCGGATGAATGTCTCCCTATTATGGCATTAAAATCATTACACATTATTGTAGTCGGGCTGTCAACTTGATCAACTTGTTCAGCCAGCCCATAGTGTGAGCTTAAAGATTGACCCCGAACAGCACGCACTTGAACAAAATATGCATACATCTCAATAGCGGCGTCTGAATAATTACTTTGAGCTCCAACCATCATTTGAACATCATCATTGTTCGAAAGTTCGAACGCTGTATAAGTTAATGGCAACAATAATGTTGGAAATCTGTACTGCAACGACGACATTCTTCTATTACTTCCAACATGAATCTTTCTCGAAATCTTCGTTATTAGTTCCTCAAGAGTTATGTTTCTCTTGAATGATATTTTAACACGCTCATTTGATACGAAAATAACGCCAGTTTCATCTTCTCGAATTTCACCATCATAATAAACAATAGTTGAAAGTCGCGCCATTCTTTGAGTTTAAAATTGCGGCAATATTATATCTGCAAAAAAAAAAAATAGCTTAAACAAACATGATTAAATAAATTATATATGAACGAAAATATAACACAATAAATTTTTTACACATCAACGTAAATAATTTAAATAATATAATTTTATATTATTATCTGCACCGCAAAACTATTTCGACGTATGCTCCCCTTTTCAATTTTACAAACATAAAAATTAATTGAAAATAATTAGTATAATTTTTTTTTCAAATAATGATAATAAACAATAAGTATAATTAAAAAATTATAACAAAATTACCTTATAACGAAAAATCGCATGAACTTCTAAATTAAATTTGAGAAGATTGCGAGAATTATTACTCGTTGACGGAATTGTTGTATTAATTTATAAGAGAGGAGAGATGCGAGGAGATGTGAGCCGGAGGAGTGTACTTATAAGCATATAAGGTGCGGTACCTGCACCGCGGTATATGATAAAAGATATAGCGCGGATCAGGGACCGCGTTAAATATAATTTTGGTACGGCGTATAGCGCACCCCCTGATCCGCGCTATACCCCTACGTGGCGTATAGCGCGGATCAGGGGGCGCGCTATACCCACGTGGCGATAAATCAGCATATAGCGCGGTGCAGGAGGCGTACTTTTCTACTAAGAGTGTTAGATCGAAAAATATAATCTGACCGATGTTAGATTAATAATAATACCGATCACCGATGATATACCAAAAAAATAGCCTTCATTTTCATTTCTTTTTAATCCAATTCCCCTTGCCTTTCTTTTCTAAATTGCGGCGCTGCTACGGCTCCTCTTAATATGGTTTATTAAATATTAAATAAAATTATATATTTTAAAATATACATTTAAAATACGATTAAAATATTAATATATATAAATAGAAAATATGCATATTGTTAAATTCTCTTAAAGATTAACAAATAAAAATTTCACATTATCATATAATGAAAAACCATTTCGCTAAGTAATTAGTTTAAACAAGGTAAACAATATTTGTTAAAATGAAAATTTTAATTTCTTTGTGCATAAAAAATTGAAATTTATTCACAATTAACTAGTTTATTATTATAATTATCCCTTAAGCAAATTTAAAAATTAAATCTTAATATATGTGAATAGACTAAAATAATTTAAGAAAATCACTCTTATATTAAATCTTTACAACACTTTATTTGAATTAATTGATTAATAAATATCGATACTCATATTAAAAAAATTAAAATTTGAGTCTTACTTTTTTTAATTTATTTCTAGAACACCTAAATTATTAATTGAAATCAATCAATAGATGTACATGTTCATTAATTGAATTCAAACTAATTTTTAGTTTAACGTAAAAGTATAAAAATATTTTTTAATATTAATTTTTTAAATTAACATTTTATTGTTTAAAATTAAATCTATTTTGATGAAAAATATTTCTTAAATTTTAAGTTGGAATTTAAATTTAATTTGGGTTGATTTAAAAATTCTTTTAAATCAAAAAAAAAAACAGAGAAAAATGACATTAGTATTATGGCCTCCGTTGCTCCTAATCTCTTATTCCCTATTTCATCCGGCAGGCCTCTCGTCTCATCTCACCCATTTATTTTCTCTTTTCTCTTAATTTTCGTTTTTTAAATCCAGGAAAAAAATGCTAAAATCCAATAAAGGTCGAAACCCGAATTTTAATTCCGTACCATGATCAGATTCTAGCCCTGGATTTTCGTTCTGTACACTCCAAAAACCAAAAAATGAAGAGAGATCATCAGGAAATCTGTGGAGCCGCCGGTGGCGGCTGTTATGGCAGTAGCAGTGGCTCAAAGGGTGAGAGCTCAAGCACTAACAAAGGGAAATTATGGGGAGAAGATCAAGATGCCGGCGACGTTGACGAGCTATTGGCCGTTCTGGGTTACAGAGTTCGGACTTCAGACATGGCGGATGTGGCTAAAAAATTGGAACAATTGGAGATGGTTATGGTAACTGCTCAAGAAGGTGGGATTTCACATCCTGCTTCCGATACCGTTCATTACAATCCGTCCGATCTTTCAAGCTGGGTTCAAAGCATGTTGACCGAGTTTAACAATCCTCCAATACCAAATCTAAATCCTATTTTCCCTTATTCGTATTCCAATTCTTCACAGCCACGGCAACAACAAATTGTCGGCAGCAATCAATGCCAAGTTTATAACGATGATTCCGAGTACGATCTGAGGGCAATTCCCGGAGTTGCTGCTTACCCACAACCAAAACGAATCAAAACTTCGGGAAATGACTCATCTTCTTCACCAACTGAGTCATCAACTCGGCCTGTCGTCTTGGTTGACTTACAGGAAGCTGGGGTTCGACTGGTTCACACCTTGATGGCTTGTGCTGAAGCTGTCCAACGAGACAATCTCAAGCTGGCTGATGCTTTAGTGAAACATATAGGTTTACTCGCCGCGTCTCAAACTGGGGCCATGAGTAAAGTGGCTACGTCTTTTGCTGAAGCCTTAGCTCGTCGGATATACGGCATTTACCCACAAGACTTGCTTCACCCTTCCTACATCGATGTGCTGCAGATGCACTTTTACGAAACTTGCCCTTACTTGAAATTCGCTCATTTTACAGCCAATCAAGCTATACTGGAAGCTTTTGCAACGTCCAACAAAGTTCACGTTATTGATTTCGGGTTAAAACAGGGGATGCAATGGCCGGCTTTAATGCAAGCTCTAGCATTAAGGCCTGATGGCCCGCCTGCTTTCCGATTGACGGGTATTGGCCCACCTCAGCCAGATAATACCGATTCTTTGCAGCAAGTGGGTTGGAAGTTAGCTCAGTTGGCTGAAACTATCGGCGTCGAGTTTGAGTTTAGGGGATTCATGGCCAATAGTTTGGCTGATCTTGAGCCCGATATGCTCGGTATACGTCCTCCAGAGGTTGAGACACTGGCGGTGAATTCCATTTTCGAACTTCACCGCCTGTTTGCTCAACCTGGCGGGATCGAAAAGGTTCTTTGTTCTATCAAAACCATGAAGCCCAAGATACTCACAATTGTAGAAGAAGAAGCGAATCATAACAGTCCTGTTTTTGTAGACCGGTTTAATGAAGCTCTGCATTACTATTCCAGCCTTTTTGACTCGTTAGAAGGCTCGGGGGTGGCAACACCGGGTCAGGACCTTGTTACGTCCGAATTGTATCTGGGAAGACAGATTTGTAACGTGGTTGCTTGTGAAGGGGTAGACCGAGTTGAACGACACGAGACACTGGCTCAGTGGAGGACTCGGATGGAAACATCTGGGTTTAGCCCAGTTCACTTGGGTTCAAATGCTTACAAGCAAGCTAGCATACTGTTGGCTCTGTTTGCCGGTGGTGATGGGTACAGAGTGGAGGAGAATGCTGGGTGTTTAATGCTTGGGTGGCATACAAGGCCGCTTATTGCCACCTCGGCTTGGCAGCTCGCCACCACCGAGTGAAGATTGCGAGTTATCACACCCGAATTAGAAAGCCAATTCCAAGTGTGTAACTGTAATTGTATCTTTCTGCTTTTCTACTAGTTCTTGTAGGGCAGTTTTTTTTTTCAATGGGAGTCTTCGTAATTTTCAAGGTTGGATCATATGGAAAGGCATACATTGTTTTCATTTCTTCTTTAAAACATGAAGGGAAAAAAACATTACAAATACCATAGAATATGTGTCAAAATTTATATTAACTCAGTTTAAATTAGTAAAAATACATAAATGTTCTATAGTACATGAATTATTGTGACATAGCTAATAAACTTAATATTTTATAATAAATTTACATAATATAATTGGTTTAAATTAAATTAAATATATACTTGTTCAAAATCCTCAATATAATTTTAAGATATAATGGTAACCCTACCATTATTTTTAAGTAACATAATAAAATATATATAAGTATGTCAACATCTATTATTTTTAATCATCTTAATTATTTCAAATATAAAGATATAATGGTAATGTGTACGTTTAGGCCACGTTGAAGAACATAAATGGAAATTCTCTTTGAATATTTTGAGATTTTGTTACTAACAATATATTTAAGTTCGAAATCTTCATAAATACATTCTCAAAGGATGAAATTCGATGCTAAAAAAATAAGATAATATAAAGTCTCATGATACTGGATTTTGTTTCTGGCCCAACGGATTGGTTCGTGGCAGTGGCAGTCAAAGGTGAAAACTTCGTGTGAGCCGAAGTCAAAACAATTCTGGAACTGAATCTGATACGGTCCATCCCTGACAAACACACAATATTTGCTTCCATTTCAGTGGTTTATAAGCGAACTGATCTAGTAAAAGGTGCAGAAGAGAATGAACAATAGCAAAAACTGTTTGAGAATGTTAACAACTGGTTTGGAACTCGGAGATATTGAGGTTCCTGTAATATGTCTCTTTTCTTTATTATTTGCATTCATGATTGTGGACTTTCACTAAAGCTTTCACCTCTTTTTCTCTCTTTCCAACAGACACATTTGCTCAAAGTTAACATCAACTGTCAAGGGTGCAAGCGGAGAGTGAAGAAACTTCTCCGGAAAATTGAAGGTTCTTTTAAACATTTTTCTACTCTATGTATGTATGTATGTATGTATGTATGTATGTATGTATGTATGTATGTATGTATGTATGTATGTATGTATGTATGTATGTATGTATGTATGTATGTATGTATGTATGTATGTATGTATGTATGTATGTATGTATGGTTTGCTGAGATTTACTATGGTTTTTGGATTTAGGGGTTTTTTCAGTTCACATAGATGAAGAACACCAAGTGGTTAAAGTAACTGGAAATGTTGATCCAACTAAGTTAATTAAGAGGTTGATGAAATCTGGAAAGCATGCAGAGTTTTGGTCCCCAAATAAACACCTCCAACTCATAAAAGGTGACACCAACAACACGGATCTAACGCAAAATCCAAGGATTAATGGGATTAATGTTCCCCGAACTGAGCATGAAAGCACCGCCGTTGGCTATGATGTTCAAGCTGATTCAGGCATAAATGTCGGCTACAATATCGGCCGTAACCTCATGACAGGCGAGGCTGATCGGAGTTTTGTAGATGAAGCAAACTTGCGGAGGATGCAGGAGGAAGGAAACACATTTGCCAAGAATGGATATGTGATATCAATGTTGGAGCCTGCAGGCTTTGGGGGCAATAATGGTGCTGGTTTCGTCGACTTACAACTGCACGAATCCAGTGCTGCTGGTTTTGTCGGCTTACGACCACATGAATTCGGTATGTTTCATGAGGTTCCATCAAGCTTGACAACTGATGACTATAATGATCCAAATCTTCCATCAATGATTGAAACCAGCTTGCAAGGGTACCACCACAACAATCCATCTGCACATATGAACACTTACATGCAGAACAGGCATAGCAATAACCCTAGGAATACGAATTTGAGTTATGATAACAAGTACATGTACACCAAGATATGAGATCTCCTTTCATTTCTAGTCATCCATTATTAGTGACCGAAAGGCGACAGTAAATGGAAAATTACTGGTTGAAAAAAATATTAATTCTGTGATGTGTTAATTCACATTAATGACTTTTTAATCAACTATTTTCTATAGTTGATGGGCATAGAATGTAAGGCAGTAACTAAATTCAACCCAAGTAACTTACATTTGCAGTTTCATATTCATATTTCTCTTCAAAAGCATGATAATATCATAATAAAGAGTTCGACGGCTAAACCCAGCGAGGTTTCTCCAATGTGGCTTATCCCGAAGTTAGACGCATACTAAACCGGCGAAAATAAATGTCCGTCATCAAGCTTTCCACAATCTATGCATGAAAATCTAATATCTTGACAGCTAAAAGAGAGTAATTGAGATGACGGAATTCGGACAATAATTCCAGTCGATATGAAAAATACATGTACTATTTGGTACAAACAACATGGTTGAAGCAGCCAATCGTTGCTCCATCATCAAATCATCTAGCCCTACTACAAAAGTACACGAAACTAGAAAGAGGTGAAGAAAACCCAATCTCCCTCCTGAATAAATCGTTTTCCTGTTTATGACAGACATAAATTGTTAATACACACTACTAGATCAACGCGTTCCTACCAGCCAACATAAAAAAAGCTGATACAATCAAAGGTCTCCCTGATATTTGCCAACCTAAGGAATATGGTTCACTTCATTACGAGGTGAAAATTTTCCAAAGCTTCTTTCCTATAGAGATTTCACCAGGATGCTCAAGATCATCATCTTCGTTCTCATCATCATCATCCATATCCTTACGCCCTTCACTATGTGACTCACTCTTGTAGTCATTTCCATCTGCATACTCACCAACCTGTTCGGGTGTGCAATTCACCTCTTCACTTAATGCGGTATTCACATCCATGTTTTTGGTTGCGCCCACATGATCATCCTTAGCATCCACAGCTGTTTCACGCTGCCACACAAAATTATATTAAAGCAGATCAATTAACATTATGAACTGATACATATATTGTAACATCCCAAATTCAGGTTAGTGAAAAAATTGTAAAATTTCAGAATTTAGTAATCAAAGTAGAATAGTTGAATAGTTCAATGATTTATTTAGGAATATTTCCGGAAAGTTGTTAGTAATTATCCAATGAGTTAAAGGGTAAAATGGTCAATTGATAAGGAAAGATATTTTTTATCCCCTTTAATAGGAGATATACACATGGGGGAGAGTAAGATGAAAACATTTCATCTTCTTCCTTTCTTCTTCTCCAACCGTGAAAGCTAGGCAAAGGTAAGAGTTTTTTTGTTTCTTGATTATTTGTTGAATTAAAGGTTGGGTTTTGATCATTAGATGATAACTAAGCTTAAGGAAAGCTTAAGTTATCTTAAAATCAAAAGATAAAAGAGTTATGACAGATTAAAGAAAATGGGTTTTGAAGTGAAATTTTGAATAGGAAAGTTTAAATGAATTTGGAGGATGAATTTGACTTGTCATCTATGAGAATAAGAAGTTAGAAGTGTTAGAATTAAGTTTGGATAACATGGAAAATTTGGTATGATTATTGATTTCTATATGGAAAATAGAATTTTGAGGTTTAAGATGAAATAAATAGATATAAATTAGTTTAAGTATGTATATTTGAGTTAAGAATATGAAAAGGAATGAAACATGAAGAATTTAAGTTGATATCGAAAAATTCCAGATTATACAGAGGGTACATATTCCCCCTAGGAGGTATCGATTCCCCCTTAAAGAAAAAAAAATGGAATGGAATTTTGGTTCATTAAATCGGCTTAAGTTATTAACATCAAGTTTAAGGTTTAGGCTTCTGATAATTTTTTTGAAATGTTATATTTATGTAGATATTGAGCCTAAACAAATTTCGGAACAATCAAAGAATTATGATCGAATCAAAGCAAGGCTAAGGTGAGTGCAATTTAATTATACGTATGTTATTGAACATACATTGGCTTGCGATGAGCCAATAGCGGAATTACTATGGTAAGAAGTGACTTCTAAAATGTTATATAGTTGATGGAATTTTTATATGTGCATGAGTACATGAAAATAGGTATATGTTATTATATGTGATTATAAGAGCAATAAAATGAATACATGCATATGTCTATAGAGTACGTGCATTTCTACATGTGATTTATGTGAATACATGTATGTGTGAATATGTTTGGTATGATTAATGATTATAAGATATAAACAATGTGATAAGTGATATGTGAATATATGAAATTATGAGACAAGTGATTAAGTGCTTAAGAAATATAAGCAATGAGATAGGTGATATGTGAATCAAATGGAAATGATTTATGCATAAGTTTATATGTTATTCTATGTGCTATGTGATGTATATATGACATATGTATATGAACAAAGGAGAAATGATATAAGTCATATGAAACAACCTACGTGATTCCATGCAAAGTGATATGAAATAGGTGACATGGATATGCAGGAAAAATTATATGAGCTATGTGATAAAGGTATGGAAATGATATGTCTATGAGAAAACATAAGAACAAGATATAAGCCATGTGACGTGAAAGTGAATTATATGAAAATGTTCTACGTGTAAGTGAACTATGTGCATATATAAATATGTGAAATGACATAAATGATAAGGCCCATGTTATGTAATATGAGAGCTAGGGGTATAGTTGGCATGCCAAGAGAATAGGGTCTACGTGGTCTTTCGGGACATATATATATTATTTGGAACATGTATGAGGTCTTTTGAGACACTTACTTGATCCTTAGTATATGTATATGATTCTTAAGGAATATATATATGGTCCTTATGGACAAATCTTATATGGCACTACGGTGCAATTCTACGCGGCACTTCGATGCAAATTTTTACGCGGTCTTTCGGGACAAATTTCATATGCCACTTAGTTGGACTTATACGAGCTGTGGTGACAACAATAGTGCACAACTTCAATGTACTCAAATACCTTAAGTTTTTAATAATGTACATGGGCTAATAAAGAGACAATAACAAATACAATATATAAGATGCATATGGTGATATGAAAGGTATTGTTGTGTGTTTCTTTGTGAAATATATGTGTTCTATGATATGTATAGAAATGTTCAACATTTGCTTATATGATCAGAAGGAATTAGTAACAATAATATGAGCATTGAAAAGCATGTTAATGATATATGTTTTTATATGATATGATAGTATTAATTATTTATGCATTGCTATGAGTAATGTTACATGATTTCATGCCTCACTAAGTCAAAGACTTAACGTGTGATTGTTTCACACGTAGGTTCCGAGAAGAGGAAGATTGATAAAAGTTATGCAAGACAGATCAGTTTCTCCTTTCTAAAGATCAGATCAGAAAAGAAGTTAATAGTATGTATTTTGTAATACTTATATTGGATGACATGTAAACAAAGATTTGAATCTGATATGTTTTAATCGGTTTTGTAAAATCATATGATTGAATTTTGTAATGTTTTAAAGGTGTATATGTAAATGGTAATTTTATACGGATGAAACCTTAGATTTTTATGAATTTATATGTATTTTTCGGAAGTACTGTAGCAGGGTATCGATTTTCTGTAGCAGGGGAATCGGTTCCCCTAAAAAATCCGGAAAAATTTTAGAGTTTGGTACTGTTCATACCGTATTTTATTGTTCATAAATACGTTTTTTGACTTGAAATTTTATACGAAACATAATTTGATAGAATATTGTGGTATTTTCTTAAAATGAGTTCAAATGTTTTGATATTTTGTAAGAATATCGTTTTTAAAAGTCAATGTGCATCTCGGACTCATATTCGGGTCGGGGTACGGGTTGGGGTGTTACATATATAGTCAACCCATGGTGTGAAGCGTATGCAGTTGATAATAGGAATTCAAATTGCAAAAACTTAAGTTATTTCCCTCATTCTAGTAAAATACTAGTGAATTTTTTCCATTTTCTCTTTTCTCCACCCTCCTGTCACAGTTAGCCTTCCAACTCCCTCATCCCTATTACATCTCTTTCTTTTCTCCTTTTTTTTTTTTGTTTCACTGTAAGACAATGATGAAATTCCTCCCTTGTCTTCTCTGATGCACATCAAGCAAAGTGGCGACCAGCTTGTTATGTGGGGATTTGTTTCAGTTCAAATAATAGCGATTCTTTAGGTATTGTTCAAATTGATTTTCTGGTTCCTTCTTTTATGTTTTAGCTTGATCCTAAAATAAAGCACTGCTATAAATTGCATGCATAATATACTCAACGATGTAGAGAACTACCAGGTGTCGAAACATTCTATCAAGTCGCAACAACTGACCATTTAAATAGCAAATTTTGCTTTATATCTTAAGATGTAGGTTTGAGCAGGGATCACCAAACATGCACGCGCTTCATAATACGTTGTACAAGAAAAGAAGGTTCAAAGACTCTTACCCGTTGCAGAAAGTCTGCTCCACCGTTCTTGCTTGCATCTCCATTTTCATTCACAGACATTGAAGCTTTGAAGATGTTAACTTGATCTGCTGCATCTTTAGCAACTGTGACCCCACTGCTTTAAGCAGAATTTTCAAATAGTTGATATACAAGAGCATAAATGATAAACTGAATTATGATAAGCTACATTAATAATCAGCAAATAAGAAAAAAACATTGTAACTTGACCAAAAAATTGAACAAAAGGTTCTTGCTTCAGCGCCATTAAAAGGAAACCATCAAACTACATTAACATAATGATTGTGCAAGCATATCATACCGCAGATGATAAAATCTAGAATCTTAATGGTAACTTACGTTTTGGATCGAAGATTATATCTTTTCTCACCAGGTATAGGCATCGCCAGAACAACTTTCTGTTGCCTCTTTCTTCGCTGGCCCCCCACAACAATATCAAACTGTCCTTCACTGTCATCACCACCTTGCTCAGTGTCTGCTGTTTGAGATGTTTGAGCATGAGTTCTCTTCCGCGTATTTCTAGATGCTCCCCCATCGACAAGACCA